TCCCGAATTACAATGGCAATAACCCGACCCCGTTTCCCCGACCAGACATCGACAATAAATTAAATTTTAGTTTATTTCGTTGAATGGTTAATGAAATTGAAACAAACGTTTGCAAAAAAAAAAAAAACAGAGTTCTTCGTGTCATTGTTCGCATTTACGTAAACGGTCATATTCTCGACAATTGCGAACGAGCATTGGGAAAATATCAGTTCGATTACCTTTATCGATCTTCCTATCCCTTGTTTTTTTTTATCAACGCTAAAAATTCAGCGCATGACGACTCTCCGTTCATGCAACATCCTCTACGCATTTATAGTTTTCATACGCTGATGCGAGCATCGATTCCTTCCCCCTTACACTTTTCCTTTTCTTCCCTGTTGCGTCTCGTATATTCTCATTGCTCGTTTCGTTTTTCAATTACGAATATATTATTTGGAGCGAGGGAATAAAACACGTATTACAATAAAGTAGATAGTACGCGTGTTCCTTTTGTTCGACGTCCTCGTAAGTGTCAGCTCAAAGAGAGAGGTAATCCTTTCTTCGAAAAGGGGGGCAAACGAAAATTGTTCTTACCAAGAGACAGTGTACTCTTGTCCGGTTTGCTGATAAGAGTTGCAACGCTCCACTATCTATAACGAGAAGAGACGCTTTTTCTCCTTATACACTGGCTCGAGAAGAGGAAGACTTTAGAGTTTAAGAATTCCCTCTTTTATCAGATTGCCTATTTTTACCTATTTCCTTTTCCTTCCCTCCCTTATTCTCCCTCTTCCCCCTCCCCTTCCCGCTTTTTCACCCGCGTCGGTCTCGTTCCCTATTCCAATTGCAATTTCTTTTCTTCATCCACGAATCGAGCGTTTACATTTTCGTTCGTATCCACGCAGCCTGCACGCGTCCAGGTCCGGGTCCAGCTCCTTTTGTTCGAAAAAGAAGTCGGAGAGCACTTTTATCTGGATTTTATTAAGCAGACGGCCGATCAATAAAAGCGAGAAAACGCTTTTTATCAGACGCAGGGAGGTAGAAGTTTCGTGAATTACGATGTTACGGCCCTGGCGTCGCCGTTTTAACCGACGCCCTCCCTCTGTCTGTGCGTGTATTTGCATTTAGATTCTAGTTTTTGGAAGTACACTCCCCCTACATCTATATCCATAAATATATTTATACACCTATACCTTATATACGCATACATGTTCCTTACAAACGTACCTGTGTGTATGTGTGTATGTGTGTATATGTATGAACGTATGAATAGTCGCGCGCGCACATCGGTTACTATCTAATTTCGTCCCGGTTTCCGGGACTGTGTTTTTGTCGTGACATCTGACGAATACGTACGAGAGCTTTTCTCAGGTACCTTTAATATTTATCCTCGCGTCTGTCCTCAAACTACCCCTTCGCTCTCGAATCTGGAACGTGTAATATTTTACGTTCCTTCTTGCAACGCTTGAAATTCAAGTGAGATTTTTTTCTTTTCTTTTCTTTTCTTTTCTTTTTTTTTTGATTCGAAGATGACGGTACAGTGGGCGTGCAATTTCGATCGTACCATTTTATACACTGGTTAAACGGTTAAATGGTGGTTTATTACGGAAGAGACGAACGAATGTTTCGCCGGATGCCGGCCGAAATATCCCGGATTTTCGATTCGCGATACATCCCTCGTACCCCTGTGAAATCGATTTGTTAATTACAGTCTAGTCGTCCTCCCTTTGGCACGAATTTAAAGCTCCCCCTCCGTTTAAAACTATGTTTCACGGTAATTTATTACGTCGAATTTTCGTCGAAACAAAGTTTCGCGTGTAAAGATTTAAAAGAGAGAGACGTCGATGATAAAATCGTCACGAGGAAATAACCGATACTCATAAAAGAGGGTTCGATCGGATAGTTTCTCGGATAAATTCCTCAAACGCGAGATATCGTATCGCGGTTTCAATAAAAGATATTTCGGCCGTAAATTGACCGTATTTTGTGCCCAGATTCCAACCGTGCATTCCGTCCTTTGCCGATCCCCCGGCTTAGAAAATCTACGAAAAATCGATCGTTCCCGAGTGGCGGCTGGCTGACTACACGCGGACCTATTCCCCTTCGTAGCGTAATTCGTGCGCGCAGCGAACGATTGCGAAAGACCGAGGACCGAGTTAATACGATCATTCGATCAATTCGAATTAATCGAATCAGCATTTGCTGGACGTTTCCATCGTCGTCGCTTATTAACGATTCCTCCCGTTGAAGGAAGGGAAGGAAAAGGAAAGAGAGGAAAAAAAAGAAAAAAAAAAAGAAAGAAAGAGAAAGAGAGAGAGAAAAGAGAAATTGGATTTACGTAGCTTGCTCGCTAATTAAAACACGATCGAGAAGAATGGATCGAGCCATTTCTCGAATCAACAGTATGCGCGTCCGCTAGTGGCTGAAAATCAAATTGGATTACCAGAGAATAAGAAGTTGGGTAAAGACGTATTTAACGGGGGCATCGGCTTGGAAGGAATTTATCTTCTCTTCAACTTTGGAATCAATAACGATCTTTGGTATTGTCACGACGAGAAACGAAGGCAACTTTCGAAAGTTGACCCTTAATGACCGTCTCATTAAAGAGCAATTAGACGAATATATGCGGCAAAAGAAAGAAAGAAAAAGGGAGAGGGAGAAAAAGGAATTTAACGCCTAGAGATAAATAAATTGCTTCGGCCGGTACGGTACATCGACCTCTTCAAGTATGTGCACGAGCGAGCGCGCGCGCACGTTGGATCTAATTTTAATCATCCGATATTGCTACATCATCCTTAAAACTTTGATCATAGAAGGGAGGAAGGATTAGATCATACGGTATTTAATAAGCTTCTCAATTTCTACCGGATGTCCAGAACACGGGTTAATAATTCTTTTCCTTGCCTTGGAATTAATTAAGAAGCTAAGATCGTTATATAAATATATCCCGGATAATTCGATCAGCGTAATTAAAAGCTTCTCCGTGAAGGTGTGAAAGGATTGAGATAATAAAAAAAAAAAAAAAAAAAAAAAAGAAAAAAAAAAAAAAAAAAAAAAAGAAAAAAAAAAAAAAAAAAAAAAAAAAAAAGGAAAAAAGAAAAGAAAAGAAATTGGTGCAGAGCGAAATATGATTAAAACAAGACGGAGAGAATTGACGCAGGAGGGAAAGGGAAGAGGGGTTGAGGGAGCAAAAATTGGCCCGACGAAGCGTATAAACAACGAAGCTCAATCGTTTTAACGGATCGGTTAAAATTCACGTATTGGAGCTGCGATTTGGAAATGCGTATTCCGATGGAAAACTAGGGAATAGTTTGAAAAAACGAACGATCGAGGGAATTGCGAACGTTCTTGAATCGTGACGTTTTAATAAATTTTCGACGTGTCGACTACTGACCACGTTGATCTCGCGACGAACTCGTTTTTTTTCTTTTTTTCTTTTTTTTATTCACGGTACACGTACGGGACAGAGCCGTGTGTACGTTCTTTTGCATCTGTGCCGCTCCCCCGACATATTCGCGATGACCGATCGAGGAGAGAGAGAGAGAGAGAGAGAGAGAGAGAGGA